TGTATCTACTGTTGCTCAAAAAGACGAGGCTCGTAGGCATGTCATTCATTGCAGATATTATGACTATATTTACTGTTCATCTTGCTCAAATGAAGTGAAATAGAGGCTAAAATGAAAATATAAGTAAATGTGTTGCGGGGTCGGACTGGCTTGAAAGGAAAGCAACCGATAGAGGAGGATATAAAGGAGGGAGATGATGAGGCCCAAAGGATGATTAGGATATGTACAAAAAATTAAATTCTGAGGTTCAATGCATTACGTTGACTTATTTGTTTAATTTGTGTAATCATGCATGTGATTTTAGTCTAATAACTACTTAGATTGATAAATTACAGCGTGTGAAAATATAATAAATTTATATTTGTGTTACGATTATAAGTGTAAAAATTGTAATAAAATGAAGATGACATTTTTTTTAAATGATATAGTTTTTTTAATGATTTTTTGACGATTATCTAATAGATTTCCGCTCTTTTTTTTGTACGATCTTATGGTTATAGAGTGTTAATTAATAAACCAACGACTAACCGACGATCCCATGATGGTCTATCAGTAAAGCGATAGTCCATTTCGTCAATCATTCGACCCACCAACTAGCCCAAGAGCAACCCACAAATTTTTCATTTAGGCATTGGCCAACAACCTCTAACCGTCAGTTTATTATCAAAGATAACTAACGTGTATGTTTTCAATATTAACTGACCACTGTTTATATATTTGACGGTTAAAGGATGACTTATCAACAATTATGTTTTTAGCATAAACCTACGGGTACTGCCCATCAGTAAGTTGTTGGCGTATACGAGCCAGCGAAAAGTCCATAGGTTACAAGATTATCGACAAGTGAATTAGCTACACCCTATAAACTTTCGAAAAGCCATCAAATTTTTATTAACTAACGACCTAATATTTATCGACAGTATCTAACCATCAGAAATAAAAAAAAATTATAAAATGTGAAAGGTTTGTAGAACTTAATTTCATATTTTCTTTCATTCTATTTGATTTTTTTTTATATCTTTTTTTATGCTTTAAGCCGATTTATGCAATCATTTCTCTTTATTTTATTTCCAAATATATTCAAAATTTCAAGAAAATTGCACGCAAGATTACAAATCTCTTAGGATAGTTTAAAGTGGGCTTGGATTTTCTTCGAATATTTAATCAATTATTTTTTTTTCTTAATTAAGATATCAAATTTTAAACCTAATTAAGAAAAAATGGACAAAATATTTCCTGACAAAGTTTTTAAAGATCTTAAGTGATCTAAGTAACATCTTTGTGATAATTGAGCTTAATTAGATGTTATTTGAATATTTAATCAATTAATTGCCCCTTTTTATGTTTATTTAGTTATTAATTATTCACTTACAATTAAGCTTTAATTTTGTTTTCAATGTACAGCTCTCTAATTCTTTGATCCAATGAGTATTTATTCATTCTTATAGTTAATGAGTGAAGAATTATTGAAATTTTCTTGATTTCTTTATAGATACTTATATCATTAAATCAATTTGTAGAATTAATTTCCGACTCTACATGTGTTTTACTCGTGATGGTTTCTAATTTAAGGTTTTAAACCAACAGGAGATTAATCCTAGCCATATGATCCAAAATTGGCAGTTAAACCTAACTGGAGTTAAATTTCCCATGTAACTAGATCTGTCATTCATTCTTATTAAATAGAATGAATGGTGTTGGCTTTCTATTTGTTCTCAGGTATTGGAACCAATGTTGCGAAATTTGCCTTGATCCAAGCAATCTAGCGCACAAGATCGAAACCTTGTATATTAAAATATGTAATGGGAAGATCCTAAGGTTATCCTACAATGTAGAATTCTAATTTTCTTAAAAAGTTGGGAAAACAAAACAAAAATGAGAAGAGTTTTTAAGCTTACCTTGATTCACTGATCCATCCTTCCAATTGAATCAATCCTTCGCACGCAAGATTACAAATCTCTTAGGATAGTTTAAATTAGGTCTGGATTTTCTTTGAATATTTAATCAATTATTTATTTTTCTTAATTAAAAAATCAAATTTTAAACCTAATTAACAAAAAATGTACAAAAAATTTACTGACAAAGTTTTTAAAGATCTTAAGTGATCTAAGTAACATCTTTGTGATAATTGAGCTTAATTAGATGTTATTTGAATATTTAATCAATTAATTGCCCCTTTTTATGTTTATTTAGTTATTAATTATTCACTTACAATTAAGCTTTAATTTTGTTTTCAATGTACAGCTCTCTAATTCTTTGATCCAATGAGTATTTATTCATTCTTATAGTTAATGAGTGAAGAATTATTGAAATTTTCTTGATTTCTTTATAGATACTTATATCATTAAATCAATTTGTAGAATTAATTTCCGACTCTACATGTGTTTTACTCGTGATGGTTTCTAATTTAAGGTTTTAAACCAAAAGGAGATTAATCCTAGCCATATGATCCAAAATTGGCGGTTAAACCTAACTGGAGTTAAATTTCCCATTTAACTAGATCTGTCAATCATTCTTATTATATAGAATGAATGGTGTTGGCTTTCTGTTTGTTCTCAGGTAATGGAGCCAGTGTTGTGAAATTTGCCTTGATCCAAGCAATCTAGCGCACAAGATCGAAACCTTGTATATTAAAATATGTAATGGGAAGATCCTAAGGTTATTCTACAATGTAAAATTCTATTTTTCTTAAAAAAATGGGAAAGCAAAACCAAAATGAGAAGAGTTTTTAAGGTTACCATGATTCACTGTATCATCCTTCCAATTGAATCAATCCTTTTTAGGCTCCTCTCAATCACCACAAATGACCACTTTTTTTAATATAGAGATTAGGGATGTCTAGGTGATGTTGGTTTTTCATGGGCTTAGGTGGTTTGATTACATGTGAAGAAGACTTGGGATGATTGCTAGGATGCTAAGGAGTGTTTTTGATGCGAGATCACAAGCCCAAACAACGAAGTAAGAAAGCTATTTATCGACCAAGCTTAGGGCGGTGATGCCAATTAAGGGTCTCTGACGGTTAGGGATATCTTGTAGAGTGCTAGAGAATGTCTCTTAGTGATCACCCTATGAGGCTTCAACAAATATTGGAGAAGAGGGTGAACCACTCTTGAACAACTTAGGCAAAGCAAGATTTCAGTTTATTAATGGGTTCCTAGTAAGCTAGGATGCTTGGATGATTCAAATTAGCTCACATATGCATGGTATGCAAGCCTATACAAATTGATTAAGCTAGGCTAGCCAATTTTACATTTAAGAATATTTCGGTTTAATAAAATTTGGGTTGGCCTTGGTCGAGGCTTGGTTCAAATGGGTTAAGTTTGATAGGGAGCCACCATAGAATACAAATAAGTGTCTAGCCAATTTTATTTCAATTGAATTTAATTTGGATTAAATTGGGTCTACATGACCTTAATGGGTCAATGATCTATTAAGCCCAATTAGGGCCCATTGGATTTAAGCTTGGTTTCAATGACTAGCTTAAGTTAATAGGGGATGGTTAAGAAAGTTTGGTTGAACTTGAATTATGTTTTGGGTGCATTTGAATTGATATGATCTTCATCATCGAGTAAAGTTCCTAATTGGCTTATTTGAGCTTATTGATTAAACTTTGAGGGTTCAAGAATGGTTCCTTGTAAACTTTATAACTCTCTAGTTCCACTTAGAATCACTTTCTAGAGGAGGGCTAGTTTTGTCCTTCACAATTCTTAATGGATCCCAATGGGTCCTTTGGACGAAGTAATTTTAGACCGAAACCCCAAGTAGGCTTAAAATGATTCAAGCCTATCTTATGATTCACTACTTTTATTTAGAACTAAAATTGAATTCAAGTTGTTTAACTTACATCATCAGAACTTTAATGGCTCAAGATAAGTCATTTGGTAAAATTGGGTTAAACAAGAGTTTAAGAGTTTGAATTTCACTCAAGTATGGTTCTTAATGACTTATAATCTTGTTAGATTCACAAGTAATAAATTTTTTTTTTAGAAAAAGAGTTAAATTCGATTAAGCAAGCCCACTAAGCCTATAAAGTTTGAATTTGACAAACTAGATTGAACAAATTATCATGACTCAATTATGAGTCTCAAGGCTTTGATTTAAGTTTCAAGTTCATAAAGTCCAAGGATCTTAAAGGTGACCTAAAGGTGCATTTTTAGCTTACTTCATGGTTTGAGAATCTTACTATGGTCTATCCAACTGCATTTAATGAGTTGAAAAAAAATAAACGTTTATCTAAATATAAAGTGATATTAGTTTTGGGTTAGCACTATGGAAGTCATCTAGAGAATCATACCAAGGGATCTTACTCGAGGTTAAGCCTAATACTACAGAAAGGCTGGAAAGGAAGTTTTTCAGTCTTAAGCCCTCTAAGCACCAGTGTATATTCAAAACATGGCCGCATTTATATTCATATAATTATTTCTTTTTCATTTGACAAAAAATGTATAACATATCAGGTTTCTTAAGATAAAACTTCTTATGCAGGCACAAGACATAATTTTTTAATACCCATCTCCTTAACCTCTTTCATATGCAAATCCATATAATGGTAAAAATTGTAGGGCTTGCATTTTTGTCAATCCACTACATAGAAATCATGTTTCAAAATCCTAATTTTCTTTCTTAGTTTGAATCATGAGATTAATTCCGAACGATGCGATTCATCATCATGGACAAAAGTCATACTTCCTGTTTGTGAGCTTATAAATCTCAATAAACTCATAGGTCTGAAAAACTGCAATATGATCTTCAAATGCATTTATAAAAAAACTCAAATTGTGAGCAATTGGATCAATGAACAAGAAAAAAAAGCATCTCCAAAAATTTTCGGTCAAAATATTTTCAAAACTTTTCATGTAAATTGTAAGAAGAGCATGATTTCTGAGAAAAAAAGTGAGCAAAGCATGTCTATAACATGCAGCAAGGAAATGATGCAACGCTTCAAATAATGTAGAGAGCACATTTCAAACTGAGTGATGAGAAATAGTAAGCCATATATACATATATGCAAAAAGTATATTATAGTATAAATATAGTTAGACCATCAGAATGACTCAGAAGTAAATATAACAGCAACATAGTTACAGAAAGATTTCCAATAGTCACTCATGTCACATAAATGGACCATATTTAGGCATAAACGAGATATATTTACCAGCTTTATTTATTTATTTTGATACCGCTTGAAATGCATGCAAGAAGGCCTCTGGAGGTTGCCCGCCACTGATCTCATATGATCCATTAATCTGAAGAGGAGAGATTACGACAGGCCAAAACAAAATAATGTGATGCAGAAAAACAAATATACTTTGAAACGAGTATGAAAATAAATATTAATGTACCACAAAGTGTGGAACACCCGAAATTTGAGAGGAATACTTCTGCAGTTCTTCATTAACCTTAACACGATAAGTTCATAGAGTTAGCGTTGTTTCAGATATGAACAGAAAGTTAAGGATGGATATATATACAGAAACAGAGATTTGTTAGGAAGATACCTCTTTAAGGCCTTTATTGGGGTCATTAATGAATTCTGCAGCTCCTTCTATGCCAACCTTCTGGGCAGCATCCAAAAGTACTTGCCTGTAAGGTTAATGTAAACAAGTCTTTTGATGGTTGATCACATATTCCGCAGCTGCTTAACTAAATAACGCTAATCAAAATTCTAAACGATTTCCTGGAAATGAAAAATGGTGGTAGCCTAACGGTGAAATTTTTGGAAATTGTTAATGCTCAAAGACAGCAGCTGCAGTCAATAATGCATTTAAAATTAAAACCTTAATCTTGATAAAAGATTCAATAATGTAAATTTTAATAATAATACAAATTAAAAAATTAAGTTAATACAAATTAATAATTATACTATTCAAGCATTGGTACACTCGAAATAAAAGAAGAATAGAATTCGATAGAAAACGAAGTACAACCTATTATAAATGTGAATGTGAATATCCTGATAACGACGACTCGACTGATTCAGGAGTCCAGATCGCAACTTATCAAAAATGATATAGTTGTTGTGGAAATATATTTAAAAATATTTCAAAATCTGCATCCAACAAAAGACTCGATGGAAGTGGGAACTGGCTAATGAGGATAGAGAAGATACTAGCTAGCATAGTTTGTCTGGATAAAAGCGGAGTGTCATTAGCTACATTTGTGTTGGATGGAGAAGCCAAAAGGTGGTGGTGTGGGAAACGTCAGGATAGGTTAGGGGACATACCCAGCGTGATGATAAGTTGGGATCGTGAAACTTTTTAGAAAGTGGTTTGTACCCCTCTCCGCTCGAAGATAGAAGCAGCGCAGGTTCATCAAGGTTGTGCAGAAAGATAAGACAGTCATGTAACACGAAGCAGAATTCACTACACTATTGAGGTATGTGCCACAGTTGATCACTACTGTAGAAAAAAAGTGCAACAGACTCCTTTAGGGATTAAAAGATTTGATTAAAAAGTCGTTGGTGCCTTTGGGGATTGATGAATATACATTATTAGTGGAACGAGTTAGAAGAATGGAGATTGATTATTAGCTTACTCAAAAGCGTAAAGAGATGCAAAAGTGGAAGCGTGTTTAATGAAGAAGAGTATGTGAATCAATCAGAGGGATCCAATAGGGAGAAGTCTGAGAACAATTCGAGTGGAGTTAGCAGAGGTCGACTCAGAGTACTGTAGTCACTTGTGTTAAATGCGGAAGACAACATCATAAAGGTGAATTCTTGATGGGCTCTAACACTTGCTATTGGTGTCATCAGTCTGGTCATATAGCAAGATATTATTCATCTCTGGCCAAAAGAGCGTTGAAGATCAGAAATTAGGAGGAGCTCCTTTATAGAAAGCTGCAACTGGGTAGAAAAGGATAGAGTCTATAGCTTCAGCTCCTACCCAAGGTGAAACAAGACAACACACTCAATCTCAAGTACATTTCCTTACTCATAGTGAGCCTGAAGAACCTACTACTGCTGATGGTAAATGAGGTTTAATGAGTTTGGAGTTTTCTTATATATATGAGTATTTTCCTAGCATATTTTCTTGCTTCAGAATTGTTCTCAAAAGTATAGTTGAGTTGCCTTGTATTGTTTCTATACCTTTATAGCGATTAATTTTCATCTTAATGAATTACCCCTAGTTTCATAGATAGCTAATGTTGACATGCTTAATGAGAAATGACTTGGGGTCTGTTTACAAATTTCAATAATGAAATGTTGTAAATGGGGAGAGAGAGACAGAAAAATGAGTGATAGAGTGGTAGGGAGAGAGATAGGTCTTATCCCTTCCACTCCCTCACTCAGAGAATGAGAGAGAGAGAGGGGGGGGGGAATGAGCAAAAGGGGGAAGAAGTTGAAAAAAGGGGTCAGAAATGCAAGGGACAAGTTCGCTCTATAAATTGTCATAGTACTTACCTATAGCATGGAGCGGCTTACGGAGTGAATGTCGAGTCACTCTGCGACTGTTGCCCTGACCAATCAAGACGAGAGAAAAGAAGCTCTCGTGACGTTGCTGAGCTTCAAGCTAGCATTCAGTGTGAGGAAGAAGAAGAATCGTGTGCAGAGGAAGAAGGAAGTCGGTCAATCCCTAAGCATTCAGTGCAAGTGATCTTGGAAAGTGCAAGCATCTGTACTAAGAAAAGAGGAAGAATTGAGTTGAGGCTTTCAAACCAAGCCGACCATAGTTTTAGTAAGGTTGCCGTGGAGGGAGAAAATAGGGGGCTCGCATGAGAGGGAAGGGATTTTCGACCGAGATTAAGAGTTAGTTAATTAATTATGTTATTAAAAAATATTATATATTATATTTATAAGTTTATTATTTAAATCTTTGACTTAAGTGCATTTGATTCAGGCATTAAAGAAAGGTTAGGATTTTTATTTTAAATGTATTGTTGTATAAATTAATAATATTTAATATTTTTTATTATAATAATCAAACTTAAAGTTTAAAGTATTGAAATCTTAAGTAAAATAATGCAATACAATAATAGTTTATAATTAAATTAAAACATAATTAAGTAAAATGATAATTGAATATTTTAAATTTTTTTGGTGATAATTTGATAGAAGTAGTACACGTTAAGAGAAAACAAATTGTGTATCATCGAGGTGGTTGCTCATATCCTTGTGCTATAGTAATATTTTTCCTCTCGACCAAATACCTTTACTATTAATGTTATAGTACTGCATACCCATAATTTTTAGTTCTATTGAATTTTATTCATATTGTAAGAATGATCTGTGTGCTTAACATTACTTAAATTATCATAGATATTGAATCTTGTATAAGACTATTGACTGTTATGCAAAAGAGAATGAAATATTCATAATTAGATAGCATGTTTGTATGTGCATCCTTTGTTATCATGAAGTCACTCTTTATTGTACTAACAAGGGAACGCTAAACTACCCATGCACATAAATGAAAAAAAAAGATATTGATATTGATATTGAAGTAGCTTAAGCGATATAATTTTTAGATGGTGCTCATATGACAGTTATATAGATATAGAATGATATATATCTGATATTGATATGGTAAGATTTTTGAACACATCAAATATTTATATCAAGTTATTAAAAATTAATTGATATACATATTGTTTTTCATTTTCAATATATTACCATAGTTTATGAGTATTAAGTATTCACTAACTTTCTTTAAGCTAGCTGCTGTTTTAAATTAACATTTCAAGTTTAATTAAATGATTAAAAAATGAGCGATAGAAAGAAAAATACTAATAAAAGACGCATAAGACTAGTAATGATATAAATTTAAATCTACTGTTTTAATTTAATTTGATTAGTGACACTTTCATTTGTTAATAGTTGGTTATAAAAAATAAATATAAAAAAACTAATTCTCACACTCCGATCATCTGTACCTGCCTTGGTCGGATCGTGATATTTCCTTACATTGCAGCATGTAAAGAAAACCTCATCATTCAGATTATGGCAATGTATGCCTAACCTTACTGATTCTTTGGAATATATTATATGTATCAAGAGAAATGGAAAATGTGCATTTTTATAATTTCAAATTCTTGGCTTAACAAATACTTCAAAACAAGCATAAGCATATTCTCATGCATACAGTTCAAAAGAAGATATTTTATACATACTTATCACCAAGAAACTTCCCTTGAATGAAATAATTCTGGAATAACTCCTCAACAAGTGAATTTTGTTTTTCATAGCCTTGATTAGCAGCAAATGATATGAGCCTGTGACTGTCCAAGGTGTTTCCCCTACATTTAATCCAAACAGAATCATGAAAATTTATTTAGGCAATATATACTACGCTATAAAATTGACTTACGTCATCCCAGCAGTGTCATACTCAAAACCAAGGCCCCTAAAAACCTATAGAAACATTCAGATAGGAGCTATAACAGTAGTTTAACAGTTAAGGCTGGTGAAGAATCAAATTGGCATGCTCCATTGGAACAGACCTCTTTCATTCGTGATATAATGCGCTCAGATTGGGTAGATCCAAACTTGTTTTTGTAAAATTCAGACTTTATGATGCCTTCTTTTGGCGCATGAGGATTAAGTAAAAATGGATGCCACTTTACCTGCAAATAACAGCAGAAAAATTAAAATTTCCGAACCATTAATAATTAAGGAAATAATGGGCCAAGCTAAACAAACATCAACTAAAGAGAAAAGATGACCTCAAAGTTAAACTGATCCTTAGCTAGGCTCATAGCTTTCTCAAGGTTCTTCTTGCCAACAAAGCACCATGGGCAAACAGTGTCTGAGCAGACATCAATTTGGATAAATTTCTTTGAGGCGCTATCGACAGCTTTGTGGGCCATGAATCTTATTTATCTGCAAGCACATAGTAGATCAGTAAGACATTGACCTTTTAAAATCTTATAGGAATGAAAAAATAAGCACTATCAATGGCCAAAAGAAAATCGATGACGAGCATATGCTAGTAATATTCAAACAAATTCTAGCATTTTAATTACATATGACTTTCTATCACAACCTTATTAGCTCAATAGGAAAAACAATTAAATATATTTTTTCAAAAAATGAACATAAAGAAAAGTTCAATTTCATTTAACAAAAGTTAACTATTCAACAGATGTGGTGCTTGATTTAGTTCTGTGGATCAGCATACTGCCATTAAGCTGCAAACAGTGCTCCTCTACCATAAATTCTCTTAGTTTGTAATTTTCCCATTTTAGTAATACACAAATTCCATTTTCCGCTACTTAAGATACACTATTTTAATACAACTGGCCCCATTGGGGTAAAAATACTCTAAGTAGTATATATGATGTAATGCTGTCATAGGCAATGGCCTATTGCATAGGAATGGTAATATTGATATCCTGCTTTAATTAATTTGCTCATCTCGCCTAGTTCCTACACTATAGTAGAATCAGAGCCTCACTCGTCCAAGCATGGTGGAAGGAAGCAAACATCAAGTTATTGACAGAGATTGAAGTCTAGAATTTGTGTGAAGTTGTCGGACCAAGAGATAATGTCTGTGCAAGTCCTATGTAACAAAAAATGAGGTCAACAATGGGGTTTGGAAGAGGTAATTCGGGTGAATTTGTTGTAGTAGGGGCTAGATGGAATTATTTAGAAGTGGTGAAGAGATGAATTTATGGCTGGACTTGGTACATGTTGAGATGTAGGATAGGTGGATGTTGTAGGACGTACAGAAGTTAGAGTTAGCGGATGTAAATGTTGTTGTAGAAGGTATTTTGGTGGTATAAAATGAGAAGCATTATTCATTAAAGACCACATGCCATGAGATGATGATCTAGTGGGTTTGAGGATTGTAGCAATAACAGCCTTTTTGGAAAGGAGATTACTCAATATAAATACATGGCGGAGCTGTGGGAGAGAGTTTGTGTAAGGCCATTTGTTTTTGTCAAGGAAAACATAGGCAACCAAAAATTCGGAGATAAGAGTAGGTGGGTTGAGATCTACATAGTATTTCGTAATGATATTCTCGATGAATAGTCTCAGATGGCATTCAGCTTATGAGATAAGTGGTTGCACGAGGGAATCTATCCAAAATTTTGGAGGTAAATAAGCTGTAAGAACTGAAGTTCTTTTGTTTCAATGAGAGGTTGATGCTTACGCTCAGTCACCCCATTTTATTAGGGTGCGTAGGGATTGTTGAATAGGTTAAGTATGTAATGAAGTTGTAGGTAGGTTTGCAAGTGATGGGACATGAACTCACCCCCTCCATCGTACAATTTTGATGTTTGTGATGAATTGATTTTGAATCATTTTCAAAAATAATATGAGTTTATTTGTAGTTCAAATTTAGCAACCATAGGGACAACCCAAATGTATCAAGAATGCCCATCAACAATAAAAAGATAATATTTATAACCTTGGATGGAAATAGTATGGGCTGGATCCCATACATCAGCATAGACAAGATCAATTAAACACTTAGATTTTGAAGTAGACAGAGGAAAAAACTGCGTATGACTCTTTGACAAATGAAACTCATCATAGTAAAAGAAAGATGTAGGCATAAATATAGTAGTTGTCCTAGAAATAGCTTTGGTGGTAGCTTGATGAGGATGGCCTGACGGTCAGTGCCATATTGCAGGTGAGAATGAAGAAATTTGAGCAAAAAAGGTTGAAATGAGGTAGAGACCATCTTTGCTAGGTTCTTTAAGTAGGATTTGGTTGTCCTCTAATCCTTGATAGCAAAACTTGATTTATTAAATAGAATGTCACAATTGTTATCGGAAGTGAGTTGATGAACTACGAGGAGATTGTGAGTTAGATTTGGGGAGTGTGGAAGCTTAGGGTGGTGAAGCTTACAAAAGGGAGTTGGTAGCACGCCCTTGCCTGAGTGAGTGATTGGAAGAGTTGAACAATCTCCAATGGTAACTGAATTAGTTCCATGATACGGTGTGGCAAGTTGGAGTTGCTCAAGATGGAGATAAGATGTGTAGTTGCGTTAGAATCAAGCCGTCATTCATCAATTGGAGGATTGGTGGAGGTTAAAAAGGTGGCATCAACTTTTGTAGAGGGATACATACTGAAGTTAGCTATGTACCAGCAATTGATAGCTGCATAACCCAATTTGCCACAGATTCGAAATATAAGGCGAGAGGAAGAGTTGTATGAGCTTCTACCGCCTTGATATGATTGGGATGTGCCCCAATTGTTGGTGCTTCCTCAAATGTTTTTGAATTGTCTTCATCTACTTTTGTTAGCAGTAGTGTTGCCAAACCGTGAGGTGTAGAGAGCAATGGCATTGGCATTGGCATTGGCATTGGCATTTGATTCCTTGGCATTCTCGGCTGAGATGCTAACTTCTTCACGGTGGAGCAAAGCGTAGGAGCTCGATGGGTTCATATCTTGTGCGTGTGGTGGTTTTGAAGGATTGATAGGAAGTTGGTAAGCCGCTAAGAGTATGAAGGATAATAGCTTTAGGATCAATGTATTAACTGGATGTAGCAATGTTGTGTACAAATGATATTGTGTCATGACTTGATCGTTCATAGAGATATGGTTGAGCTAATTTCGTAGTTGAATAACGTGCAATCTATTGGTAGATTGAAGCTTGCTGATCAAAGTTTTCAAGATTTCAGCAATGGGTTCCATATTAAGGATGTAGGGAGCGATTGTGGGAGAACTGGAGTAGATAGTTGCTGATAAGTTATGATCAATGAATTAACAGCTGAGAAATTGTGGATTATAGGTTATTTGACCATTGGAGTCTTAGATTTGAGGTGGAGGACAAACAACAGATCAATCCAAAAAACTATCGAAACCATTGGCCTTGAAGAGGTTGTCAGTTTGAGATTTCCTAGTGGGATAGTTGTTGGCTGTAAGCTGAATGTGGGCAATGTTCTTGATATTTTACATCAGGAATTTAAGGGATGAAGGAGTAGGAATATCAGTCATGGTTGCGGTGGAGAAGTTTGAAACTGGATTGGTGTAAAGCTGTAAGCTGAATGTGGGCAATGTTCTTGATATTTGACATCAGGAATATAAGGGATGAAGGTGTAGGAATATCATGACATGGTTGGGGTGGAGAAGTTTGAAACTGGATTGGTGTAAAAGGATGATGAAGACAAAAGAGGAAATGGGAGGTAGAGAATTAAGGAAGAAGAAGGAGAAGATTGAAGAGATAGGATAGGAACCTTTGTTCTGATTACATGTAACACTTTACAGAATTGCAGCAATTGAAGAAGCTCAGGATGCAGAAACAGATCGGTCCAACAACTTTTCGTTAAGCTGCTATATAAATTTACATGGAGCCAACAATCCACTAGTCTAGCTATACATATATATGGTGTGCAGAGGGAAAGTGGAGTATGCAGAGAATTACAGAGAATAAATCAAGTGGTCCTGTTGTCATAGTTAGTTACAAGAGAAAGTGGAATATGCAGCCTACCTGAAGATAGTTATTATATGTCTGTTAATCTTGTTACGAAAAAGCTTCCCAAGAAACCATTTTGCAACTAACTCATATTTCAAGTTAAGCCCCAAGAGGCTTGGAAACTATACAAGGACCAAATATATAAATGACTTCTTATAATATAGACCTTCCTCTAAGCACCCTTATTTTATTTACTTTCAATATGTCTGGTACCATCAAATGACATACCCACTCAGCTCACTTCAATTGGACGAGTTCTCCTAAAGCAGGGGAATCCTGATGTAGTCTTGTGGATCAATATATCAACTTTAAGCTACTTAATCGTGCTCCACTACAAAAAAAATATGTTATCTTGTGATTCTCCCATTTTATTAATATAAAATTTCCATTTCCTGCAAGTTAAGATATAGTACTATTTTAAGAGAGCTGACCCCATTGAGGTATAGATACTTTAAAGGAGTATATATGCTGTAATGCAGTTATATGCAGCAGTCTCTTGCATCGAAATGGTAATATTGATATCCTGCTTTAATTAGCTTGATGTTATCTTGCCTAGCTCCCTTGCTAGTTAAAGCATACAAGTATGAAATTTTCATTACGTGCTAACAAGTAAAACAGCTTTTACACTACCTACGGCATAGAAGATATCAATATAATTTAAAAAGCAGCCACAAATCATGTTTGAGCAAATAATTCGACTAATTCTGTTTTTTTTTTCCTTCTCATGGATTGATCCCGATGAATGAAGCCGATTTCAATTTAGAACATGGCTGGTAGAGAGCTGTCAATAAAACTAGGCAAATAAAATCCAAACATAGAATATCGTGTGAAAAAAAAAACACACTCAGATAGTAGGATCAACTAATTGATCATCAACCAATCATAACCTCTACAAGATATATCTCCATTTAGATAAAATATTTTTTCCTGGTTCTGAGAGCATCAACGAACACACTGGAACGAAAAGGAAAACACAAATTCCAACCTCTGCAGAGCTGTTCTAATCATTCACACTCAATTACATAGGAAAAAAAAACTTGCAATTCGATTACTGGAGAACCAAATTAAAAAAATAAAAAAAAAGAAAAAAAAAACACCCGTGGCAAATCGGTGTCGTGACTTGGTTAGAATTTCAGAAAAAAAAAGAATATAGAATCAATAAAAACCTAATTCTCCAAAAGCTGTGTTATATACACATTTCAAAGAGGTAATACTAATGAAGATGGGGCTTTTAACCATTATCAGTTACAAGGAGAACATTCAGTGGATCGACGGAACAAGAAATAACAGAGTCGAACCTTCAAGCGTAATACTAACAGAACCCCACTGAAGTTTCGTCGCAGTAATGAATGATTTCCCGAAACTTACAGCGGACTAGTCCGGGGATAAAAATAGGAAGGAGAAAAACAAATGACTTCGATTTTTATTTATTTTATATTTGAGTGATTTTAATCACAAATTTATAGAAACATAAAGCACATGCACACCTAATATACAAGACTTTGGACGTGGGAGCTTTTTGTTAAAATTTAGTGGGTGTTTGACATCAAATAGGATTTAGTAAATTCATAAATCATAAATTTGTTAAATTTATCTTACACTTGGATTTAGTAAATTCAGATTTAAGCCTTATCGAAAGTAAAATTTGGGACCATAAATTAAAATCTCATAAATCCACATAATGAATCCCAAAATGTCATTTGAGTCACAGTCAACGGATAGAACGTTGGACGGATGATAGGAATAGAGAATAAAGGATTAAAAGCAAAGTGCACTATAACAAAAGCTTTTTCGAAACAAATTCATAGTCCCTTCTGGAAGATATGACCCCCCTATTTATAGATTATATGGAGTGTCAAATAAGTTCTATAGTTGTCCTTGTTTCAATAAGAACATTATAACTGATTAATGTGTTATTATATATTTACATATTTGTAACTACCTATGGGATTCTTTTATATTCGTAACTGTCATTGGCACTTTTTCACATTCATAATTATTTGAAGCGGGGTATTAATAATTTGTTGATGCTAACAATTGGTTGTCTGATAATCGTTCGGTCGGCTCTCAGTCTCTCAGTCGGCTGAGAGTTTTTTGGTCGGCTAGAAGGTCATTTGGCGGCCTTCTTGAGGAAACCCTTCGTAGAGATTTTCTTATCCTTGGGATGAACTAAACAGTTAGGCAGAGGGCGTGTCACCGTAATCTGACGGACAACTTCCATTCAGATAGGAGGTATTCAAAGAAGGTTGTCAAGGCTTTCTAGAGAGCGACCATTAGTTCTCTCTGTGAGGGATCCTAGAATTTGGTAAAGGGGGTTGATGATATACACTCGTCCCTTAGATCATGTGCATAATGTTTATTCGTTCCGACATGTTTTATTTTGGTTAGTCCATCATCCGACCGAATGATATGATGCTTGACAAGTTTGTCTTTTGACTGTTCTAATGCTTTCCTTTGATATCCTTTTAGTGTGATCCGTTGAATTTTTATTAAAAATGCAAATCTATATATATATATAGATATATGTGTGTGTGTGTGTGTGTGTGTGTGTGTGTGTGTGTGTGTAAGCATATATATAAATATGCATAAAGGGTCCCATTAATTAATAACATACGTACAATTATATGTGTGTTTATATATAGGTGAGTGAGCTTACCTATTTATATATACTATATTTATACAAGTGTATAAATATTAAATATGTATGTTTATATGCATGTAAAGAAACCACATGAATAATTCATTTAATAGTTTAATGTGTTTAGGTTGTTTTATTTCTTGACACTTCTCTTTCTTTTTTATGACATCAATGTAAATGTAAAAAAATTAATGAAAATAGTGGAAATTCATGAAGAAATTACATAATTGTATATTTACTTGTATATTATGCTTGTGAGATTGCTTGCTTTTTTTCTGTCTTATTCTTAAACATGTATGGGGATAGATAGGATAGATGGATCCGAGGTATAGGAGATGATATAAAGCTCCTAACTATTAAGTGAGAAAAGTGGGAGTCTCGCAATCTTCCTACAACTTCTAAAAGACCAACATATTTTTATTTTATATAAATTAAATGTGCTAAAAATGAAATATTTTTTAAACTATAAAGAAGTTTATTAAATACAATATTTTTTATCTTAATTAACAGTGCTTTAAAGTATAAAGCTTTTAAAATCTAATCAACTCATTAAGAGATATTTTATATTAATTAAATGAGCTAAAAATTTCTAACCTCTTAAAAGTTTAGAAAAAGCTCATGGTGATGTCGATTAAATAAGTCTTTTAAAACCCATTTATAAAGGATTCTTTTCTTAGAAGAGAAATCCTTTAAAACTTTTTCTTCAAGGAATTCCTAAATAAACTTAGAATCTTAAAATTTCTTTTAATTAGAAAATCTTATTTTAAACCAAGTATTTCTTTTAAAATCTTTTTTCAAATATATAAATGTACATTTCTCTCCAGAAACGTATGATTTTGTAGTCTCAGATTTTTAAGTATATAAGTCTTGGGTTATTTTAATTTAAATAACTCATAAGAAAGATAAATTTTTATCCCAAATACTGTTTGAATGACCAAAAACTATTTTTAGAAAATCTAAATTTTTGCATGAAAAGAATATTTTTATTACTTTAATGAGAATACAAATGAATTTTTAATATGAGAGCTTTAAATTATGAAACTTAGCCTTCTTTGTTTAAAATATACCATCCCAACCACAATTTAAACTTGGGGAGAGAGAACAAAATCATAGGGAGAAAAAAGAACCATAGCATGGAAAAATAGTATTTCATTGACAATTTGACTAGAACTTCACTTAAAATTGAAAAATAACTACAAATTATCTAAAAGCTCTGATTTATCATCATAACTAACAATCATCAGGAGAGAAAAAATTACTTTTTAATAGTCAAACCCCAAAAACAATTAAAAATAGCCAACTCTAATTTTTGTGACCACATCTTTGGTTGGTTCCAAACTATGACCCTATGATAGCAAACATAGACGAAAACCTAGGACCATGCATATTCCTTAGATTAGTCCAGTGTAGAAGACCTAGGTTAGTTTACTAGGTCTCCCCCATATATTAGAATTATGGACTTAAACATATAAAATAAATCATCCTACCCTCGAAGACAATGAGTATCCTAGAATGAAGTAGCTCATGCTATGGACGAAGAAACTCACAGCCTTTTTATAGTGGAAAGAATTACCTTAAGTCATTGCTTTGGTGATAAGAGAGAGCTCCTATTTTTGTACTAGTTAATAGTTTGAGGCTACCAATGTACCTGAGATGATGGAAAGCTATTGGCATCTTGACCGACCGTGTTACTCCAAAATTTAGGTTAGGTAATCTATAACCTCCTGTTTAGAGATGTTTAGGGTAAGGCTTCACCTTCATCTAGAGATGTTTTTCCCCTTTCCTACCACTTAGACTAGGATGTTCTTAAAATCAATTCATCTTAATCAGACTAAATTTAACTCAATTAAATCAAATGTAACTTAATCCTTCTAAACTCAACCATAATTTAATTAAGCTCAACTAGTTTTCACCTAAATCAATCTCAAATCTCAAACCAATTCTAATTCAAACTCAATCCCAATCTAATTCAAACTTATTCAAATTCTCAAATCTAATTCAGTTCCAATTCAAATACAATGTTAATTTGATTCAAACCCAATATCAAATACAACTCAAATCTATTTTGTTTCTCAAATTGATCTGTTAATTTAAGCTCTATACCATTTCAACTGTTAAAAGTTGAGCTCAATTCTAAGGGTCAAAATCTTTGAAACTCAAGTGAAGTCAACCTGTGTCCAATCTTATTCTTTTTATTAAAATTTTAAAATCTTATTATTCCATCAAAATACATTAATAAACAGAAAAGATATCAGCCATACCTTTAATCATGAGTTTTCTCATAAACAATTCTTGAGGTGTAATTAACTATGAGGAAGCCCCCTCCTCATAGGGATAGCAGACCTCATGATTAAAAGAAACCTTATTTTACACTAGTAAGGTAAGGGAATAATACTTGTTCCGTAATTCGATAAAACTCAATGATTTTTTTCATGCGAATGATTAGATCAATTTTAAAGAAATATTTTTATCTTTCGAGATTGTATATTATTATTTGAGTGACATAACCAATCATCTAGATAGAGTTCTTTCCATATTTTTGGTGGATCCTAATCAAGAAAAAGAATCTCACCAAGATTTTTCTAGTGGCTCTGCTGGGGATGGTTTCTCTCTCTATCTTTAGTTATGCCTTAATATTTTTTGTCATTAATGATATGTATATCCTTTCCTTTTGAGACTTCAGTTATTAATAATTTTCCTGTTTGACTTTCTTTCTTTTAAGTCATGGAATAGATCAAGTCTTGGAATGGGTCCACCAAACACCCTTGAACATTGGGTCCACAACCTAACTTGAGTAAGTTTTGGAAACTTCTTTTTCTGGCCTCTGTGTGGGTGGTTTTACAAACTAGTTTAGGTTAGGGCTTTTTACTTGATTGCTCAAGTTTAAACTTTTCCCTTACTAAATCATCATCATAATGAATCCTAAAAACCAAAACTCCCCAAAAACAAATCTAAAATCAAATTCAAAACTTTAAATAAAAGCTTTTCTTCAATTCACCTTATGGAGAGGTGTTGCCCTAAGTTTTTGTTGGGGTCTAGTTTTTCCTCCTTAGAAGCTTAGGATCTATTCATAGGACTTTCTTGTAGAATATCCTAGAGGACTAGTAATGGAACCGTACCCATTAGAAATTTTAAAAGACTTCTTTACTCTTCTTGGAGATCCACATGTTTGGTTTTGACCTCTAACACTTAGTAGGATGAAACCAACATGGGGCAGCTCAAGAGGAGTCCCCATGGAACTGTCTGACCTTAAGGTTAGCCCAGGATGGTGTGGTCTTGGTCAGTCTTGCACACACACACACACTTGAACCCCTCACTTTCAGTCACAACCTTAAACCCTAAACCAAATATGCTTAACCTGGTTCCCCTACTCTTTTGGAGACTCATTGTCAGCAAAATTTTTTAAGGGGGTGCCGGAATGCACGTTGGAAGCTATCGATGGCCAGAATCGAAATTTTGTTGCCCACTTCGGAAAGGCATTTAATTTAAATATATATATTAGTTTAGAAAAATATGAAATCAAACCGATCTCATATCTTTCAGAGTTTAAATGAAAGAGCACCACACCTTAAGCTATGTATCGATCTCGAAAGATAAACACGCGTTTTAAAGGTAAGACTCAATCAAATAAACTAAGAAATTTATGACATTCGTTTGGTCTGCGAAACCATTTTATTATAAGCCGATGATCCTTATTTTTATATGTGCATGGGTTTATGAAGTTGACACCACTACATAAAGATTTTAATCCCCGACAACGG